AGAGCGGTGCACTCTGGCACGCGGAGCAGGTCTTCAGTTTTGTTTGAGTGTTTGCTGGAACAGGCCCGATGTGAAATGCACTCGCAGAGCCCGGAAGCTGTACCCTGCCTCACTGCTCGCTAGAGCTGTGCATAGCTAACCAGCTGTAGATGGTTTATTGCTGGTGAAATCTGACAGCACACAACTTCTATTTAGCTGTTGAGAAAAATATAGCTACAAATGAATTTTAGAGCCACGCAATGTATTATTAATTTTATTTGTGCTTATTCGCTATGGGACTAAGCAGCAAAATTGAGTTCTCTAGCTTAGCTTTCACCTAAATGTGTGGGTGTCCAGCTCTGAACTATGGCCACCTCTCTGAGGATGAGAACATTCAGGTCTTGGCACGTCTAAACTCAGGCTACCAGTTAACAAAGCATCTTTGGATAATCTTTGTTTAATACCTGCCACAGTTGTACCACAAGACCCACGCAATACTGTGCCTACTTTTAAAGCCCCAGCTCCCAGAGTCCTGTGATTACATGAGACTCTTAGTTTTATTTTTTAAAACAGTAAATTTGGTCTATTTTCTAAGCAAAATATAAATAAAAATTTCCTTACAATTTGGAAGAGTTAAACTCACCATTTTAAAGCATGTTTTTATTAGTTTAAATCTAAGAAATAATTCATTTTAAATAATCTTAACTAATAAAACTAATTTATTCGAAACTAGTACATGTTGCAGATTATCCCTTTTCTCTCTCAGTAGCATTTTCTCATATTGATTATTATTACTCTCAGATTTGTAGGTTGTCTGCCTGATTAATAGGTTGCTGCTAGTACCAAGTGTAACGAGTTTTGATATTGGGTTGTGCTAAGCTGTTTGGTTTCATTTATTTAACATGATTTATTTACTTTGCTTGTTATTGTGTGCATATATTTAAAATCATTGGCTGTGTGAAACTCTGGACATCCCTAACAGCTAATTAAAAATAAATAAATGAAACAAAATACAGCTCTTGAAAAGTTAAATAGCAGGGTGGTCAACTAATTTACACAGTACCCTGCGACAGGAGGATTCCTAGCATAACTCTTAGTGATTAACTTTGAACAGACCCAGGGAAACTGAAACAAGCCCAAGGTAAGAGATGTCCTTGCTAGCTTTGCGCACACTGGTGATGTCTGTATTTGTCACTGAAACATCCCACGATGATACTGCTTCTGCGTGGAGGCAATAGGCTGCCTTAGCTCTGTGCCCATGCTTTCAGTTCTGCTCAGTTAGTGCTGTCGTGCATATCTCTGCTCCCCACTGTGCTGTATACCAAAGACAGGTCCTTAATCTCTCCCAGTTTGGCTCCTCCATTTATATAGATTCTGTGAATACCCATCCTTATTAACCCAAGACAGCAGCAGAATAACTAAAACAGAAACTGAGAGGTAGGCAGATACATGGGTGGTGCGATGGCCACTGTAATGAGAGAAGTCCCCTTCTGTATCCAAAATGGCAGCCGAAATAGATGGACTTTGCTGCATCCTAAAGATTCACTGAGTTTAGACTGTTGCAGATTAACAGAGTTGGATTCCAGTAGCAGATCCCTTTCTTCTTCTAGAAAACCAGCCTTCCCTGGATGAGCTCTGCTCTGTGAACGCAGCTGACCAAAGCTGCAGTAATAAGTCACAGGAAGAGAGGTCACTGCTCATAGACCTGCCCGTGTCATTTAGTACTTCCAAGGGTAGAGCCAGCTCTGCCTTGGCAGCCAGCACCAGTCTCTGTGCAGCAGGCTCCTCTTAAGTGTCTGTGTTAACTGGAAGGATACCTCTCAGATGGAGTGTATTGCAGAGGTCTAAAAGAGGGCTAGTGAAAGAACACTTAAGAAGAAGGGTCACAACCTCCTAGCCAGCTAAAAATGGAGAAAGCCTTTTTGTTAATATTGCCATAAGATTATCTAGTACTTCACAAGCTTCCTTCCCTTTCAAGCTGAAACCCATCTCTACTTGTAGAAGTAGGTACCCCCTGCAAAAGATTCATGAGGATAACTGTGGCCATCTCTTCCGTCTCTCTTATCCAAGTGGCCAGCATTGCTTCCAGTGAGGACTGAACTGGAGGCAACTCTCTCAGCCCAACTCAGTCACCACCAAGTGCCAGTACCATACTCTCTGCGTTGAGGTGAACACAGAAAGTGAAAGCTCTCAGTCATCACCTCAGTCAAAGCATTTGTAGTCACTTTGTTGAGGTGTAACGGCTACTAGTGACACTTTCTATTTGCTACCCAAGACATTTCTGTTGGTGTCTAAACAGTGGAGCAAAGACCTGGAAGGACCCACGAGAGGTTATCTGGTCCTTCCCCGTGCACTGAGACAAGACCAACTCTATGGTGATTGTACCTCTCAGGAATTTTTCAAGAGAGTCCACTGCCTGTGTAGCCAGTGCATGAGCATTATTTCACTTGCTTTTGCATTTGGAAAGCATTTATTAACATATGACGGAAATTGATTTTACTATCAATTATTTCTGGTCCTCCTGAGAGGCAAATGGTGGTTAACTGAGCCTCCTCTTCCTCAGAACTACCTTTTACCTATTATGAGCACATTGCCATGAAGCACATTTTCCCCCAGTATCCTAGACTTCTCTACTCCAGCTTTACAGGCCCAGGTTCACCAAACTGTTCTTGCAAGTTATATTTTCTAATCATTGTGTTGTATTTGTTTCACTGCTGTCTAGTTTGTCCACACTTTCCCTTAAATGTACTGTCCACAATTGAACGCGAGTTTAACTTGAGGACTCAGCAGTGCAGACAAAAGTCAGATAAGTACGTGCTGTGTTTTGCGTATCATGCTTCAGTTAACAAACTCTGGAATGAGATGAGATTTACCTTTTTTTTTTTTTTTTTAGAGCACCTCATTGCCTCATTGCTATCTCTTACTTAGTCTCTTTGCTGCTCTCTAGCTCTCAGGTACTGGCCTGCAGCACAGCTGACTTGCTGCTCGTTCCCTGCTTTTGTGTTTGAGCATTGATTGTTTTTTTTCCTCCTTTCCGCGCGTAGTGTTTTATACTCACTATTGTTGGATTTCATCTCGTTGATTTCTCCATGGAGACCAGTTCTGCAGTTTACCAAGAGTGTTTTGAATTCTGACTGTGGTCTCCAAAGCACTTGCTCCCAACTTGATGTCATCAACAAAAGTTACATGCCTTCTTTTTATTCCATCCTGAAGATATTAATTAAAGTATTGAAAAGATCGGACACAAAACCAGACTGCAGTAGCAACCCACTAAGACCTCCATCCCTAATGGATAGTGACCCATTGATAGCAGGTCTTTGAAGCATCAAAATGGTGATTTAACACCCACCATATTTTCTTAGCTTGTGTAGGAGACTGTCAGGCCTTTCAGAAGTCAAGATTTATC